CCATATTGCCATGGGTTTCCTCCAGGTGTTCCGGTTTCCCCCACAGTCCAAACACATGCATTATTGGTGAATTGAATAAACTTAATTGGCTGTAGAATATGAGCGTGTGTGTGTGTGTGTGTGTATGAGTGTGTAATGGGTGTTTCCTAGTGCTGGGTTGCGGCTGGAAGGGCATCCGCTGCATAAAACATATGCTGAATAGTTGGAGGTTTATCCTACTGTGGCGACCTCTGATGAATGATGGACTAAAATGGATGAATGAATGAAAATAATGTACACTTATTTTAAAGGATATTGTCCGTCACATCAGTCTATTATGGTGTTTGGGAGCAGGTGTTCAGTAAAGCATGGGGTTATTAGGGGGAATTGTGATTAGTGCTGCTGTTGCTCTGTTGCCTGAGATGCAATGTCACATGACTTATTGATTTTTTTCAAAGTATTAATAATTTAGTATGGCACCTCCAGAGACATCACAGGCGGTGATGGAGCAACAGGAGATGTTTATGCTAGCAGACCTCATTAGACCACCATAGACTGTTTTTATTAATAATTTAACTAATAATAATAATAATAATAATTGTTTTATTATTAACAACAACAACAATATTATTATTATTATTATTATTAGTAGTAGTAGTAGTAGTAGTGATAGTACTTGTAGTAGTGGTAGTATTATTATTAACGATAATAATTAGAATAAATATAAATAATAATAATAAAGTATAAATATTAATTATAATAATAATAACAACTACTACTACTACAATAATAATAATAATAATATAATTTTTTTATTAACAACAACAATAATATTATTATTATTATTATTAGTAGTAGTAGTAGTAGTAGTAGTAGTGATAGTACTTGTAGTAGTAGTAGTAGTAGTAGTAGTAGTAGTAGTAGTAGTATTAACAATAATAATTAGAATAAATCTAAATAATAATAATAAAGTATAAATAATAATCATAATAATAATAACAACAACTACTACTACTACTACAATAATAATAATAATATTATTATTATTATTATTATTATTATTATTAACAATAATAATCAGAAAAAAATAAAAATAACAATAATAATAAAGTATAAATAATAATGACAACAATAACAATAATAATAAAGTATATTATAAATATAAATAATAATAATAATAACAACAACAACAACTACTACTATAATAATAATATTAACGATAATAATTAGAAAAATATAAATAACAATAATAATAAAGTATAAATAATAATAATAATAATAACAAAAATAATAATAATAATAATAACAACAATAACAACAACAACAACAATAATAATGTAAGTAATAAAGACAGTTGGCATAATGACAATCATCATAACATCATTATTAATATTATTATAAAAGTATTACTAGTTTTATCATTATTAATTAATTTATTTGAGGTAAAAGTAATTATGAATGAATAAAGAACAAAATAATTAGTGTTCTGCATATTTTATGCATCATTCTTACATTATCATTTTTAGAAATATTTTATTAATAATTTCTTAGAATTTTTTATCATTATTTATTATTTTATTTGTTTTAGGTAAATGTAAATATCATAAAATCATTTTTGCTGTATTTACTGTATAACTGGTGTCATTTCACACACCTAGTTTATGAAGTAGCAGAACAATTTATACATTTTATTTTTTCATAATTTTTTTGTTCAGAATAAATTCAATAAGTTAAATATTTCATGTAGAATGCATCAATTTCAATAATCCATTACTTGCTTTACCTTCTTTCTAGTGTTATTTTATAACGTTGATACCTAAAACAGCAAAAAAGAAAAAATTTACATTCTATATTTTTATTAATTTGCTTATTTGTTCATTAAAAAGTCAAATGTCATGAAATATAACAAATAACATATTAAAATGTATTAATTCATTCATTCATTTTCTTGTCGGCTTAGTCCCTTTATTAATCCGGGGTCGCCACAGTGGAATGAACTGCCACATATTAAAATGACATATAGTTAAATACAGTTAACTTTTTATACAGAATGTGTCAATAAAACTGATTTTCCAATAATCCATGACTTGTTTTTGCAGTATGGTGTAAGATTACAGACCTTATACCTGGACCACCAGCGTTGGAGACAAAATATCTGTTCTTTCATATAATTCTGGCTTCTCTTTGATCCACTTCATTCTAATAGCAGTGCTGAGTTGTGTTTACTTTGTCGTCTGGTGTGGGAGTAATCAGATTACAGATGTCTTGCTTCACTCAAATTACACTCAAATTTAGCTTTCTACAGGCCTAATACAGTTGAAGGCAAAATTATTAGCTCTCTAGTGATTCTTTTTTCTAATATTTTCCAAAAAATGCTTAACAGATTCAGGAATTTTTCACAGTTTTTTCTATAATATTTTTATAGTCTTATTTGGTTTATTTCGACTAGAGTTAAAGCAGTACTTATTTTTTTCAAGACCATTTTAAGGTCAATATTATTAGCCCTCTTAAGCAATATTAGTTTTGGATAGTCTTCAGAACAAACCAGTGTTATAGAATGACTTTCCTAATTAACCTAACTTTGCCTTAATTAACCTAGCTAAGCCTTTAAATGTCACTTTAAGCTGAATACTAGTGTCTTGAAGAATATCTAGTGAAATATTAGTTGCAGTCATCATGGCAAATATATAATAAATCAGTTATTAGAAATGAGTTATTAAAACTATTATGATTAGAAATGTGTTGAACAAAATCTCTCCGTTAAACAGAAATTGAGGAAAATATATACAGGGAGGCTAATAATTCACCAATTATGAAGTGTGATATATCTAGATTTCTCAGCTCGCACTGATGTTGGTTACCTTTTTCATTTATTTATTTTTGAAATGTTGCTCATCACGTCATGAGTGGATCTTCACAACAGTGCAGATGTGCAGGAATCAATACAATTGAGCCCAGTGTAAATTACGAAACTTCCTCCAGAGAAAAGACAGCAAAAGAAATCAATACGAACGTAATTGCATTCATCAGCACTTGCTCTTCACAAGAAGAATAGATGATGGTGACAGTAATCTTTTGATCATGATATGTCAACCATTAATTAATTAATTAGTGTTACTTAATTACTAATGTTAATAAAAGTTACAAATTGCCATGAGATTGTGTTGGAAATAGAGACTAAGCGGAAGGAAAATGAATGAATGAATGAATGAATGAATGAATGAATGAATGAATGAATGAATGAATGAATTCATTCATTCATTCATTCATTCATTCATTAAGAAGAAATTTTCTTCTTTTAGTTGTTTAAGTCCCCAAAGTGGCAAATCTACAGAGCCTTATTTATTCATTGATCACTTTTTTGTGACTTGTAATGTCATCAGATGTCCTCCAGACGGCAGCAGTGAGAACTGAAGCGCCAGTGAGAACTGTTTAGATCTTTGCTGTTCCCTAGTGGTATATAACAACCATTGCAGGGTAATTGAACGTGTACATAGTGTACACTTGTAATGTTGGAAACCTGTAACCACTGACTTCCACAGTATTTGTTTTTCTGAATATGGAAGTCAATGGTTACAGGTTTTTGTGTGAACTGCCCCTTTAATTCCCATCTTCACCTCCACACAGCCTGGTTTTCTTGTGCGACAGACTTTGGCTTTATGCGATCTGCAAAGATAGACTTCTTTAACGTAGTAGCTGTGCTCATTCGACTTTTCTCTTTCCTCTCTACATTTCTTCAGACAGTCTCTTAAAGGACAATCCGCTTAAAAGGAGATATTTTGAAAAATGTTGGAAACCTGTAACCACTCACTATGAAAATCATGGTTACAGGTTTCCAACATTTTTTAAAAATATGTTCTCTTGTGTTCAACAGAAAAAGGAAACTCGTGTGTGTGTGTGTGTGTGTGTGTGTGTGTGTGTGTGTGTGTGTGTGTGTGTATATGTATATATATATATATATATATATATATATATATATATATATATATATATATATATATATATATATATATATATATATATATGAATGTAAATGTATGAATGTATATTGTAAAATGAAAAAAAAAAAAGATTTATTGGATTTACTAAATGTTTTTTTTATGTAAGTGGTTGTAAACAACTTATATGGTCATAACGTAAACAAACAAATTAAACAGAATAATCTTTAAATTAATTTGTTTTTTTAAATTGCAATCCACTTGAAATAAGTTATTTTGAAAAAATGTTGTAAACTTGTAACCATTGACGTGGACAGAATTTGTTTTTCCGTCTATGGATGTCAGTGGTTGCAGGTTTTCAACATTCTTCAAAATATCTTCTTTTATTTTCATCAAAACTCTTGCATTTTTTTCTAGATATAAATAGTTGCAAACTTTTTTTTATGAGCTGAAGTTAAACAATCAAATTTAATTTATTTAAGTTTAATTTAACTTTGTTTAAATGGCAATCTTCTCAAAATAAGTTATTTTGAAAAATGTTGGAAACCTGTAACCATTGACTTTCACAGTATTTGTTTTTCAGATTATAGAAGTCAATGGTTACAGGTTTTCAACATTCTTCAAAATGTCTTCTTTTATTTTCATCAAAACTTTTTTGCAATTTTTTTAATGTAAATGGTTGCTAACATTTTTTTTATATGAGCTGAATGTAAACAATCAAATTTAATTTATTAAAGTTGAACATAATTTCTTTGTTTAAATTGCAATCTTGGCGACGCAGTGGGTAGCACGTTCTCCTCACAGCAAGAAGGACCTGGGTCGCTGGTTCGATCCTCAGCTCAGTTGGTGTTTCTGTGTGGAGTTTCCTCCGGGTGCTCCGGGTTTCCCCCACAGTCCAAAGACATGCGGTACAGGTCAATTGGGTAGGCTAAATTGTCCGTAGTGTATGAGTGTGTGTGTGGATGTTTCCAAGATATGGGTTTCGGCTGGAAGGGCATCTGCTGCGTAAAAACTTGCTGGATAAGTTGGCGGTTCATTCCGCTGTGGTGACCCCAGATTAATAAAGGGACTAAGCCGACAAGAAAATGAATGAATGAAATTGCAATCTTCTCAAAAGGAGTTAATTTGAAAAATGTTGGAAACCTGTAACCATCGACTTCCACAGCATTTGGCTTTCTGACTATGAAAGTCAATGGTTACAGGTTTCCAACATTAAAAAGGAAACTCATTTACTCCACTTGAGGAAGAGAAAATAGTGAGTGAATTTTCATTTTTGTGTGAGCTGCCCCTTTAATTCTCATCTTCACCTCCACACAGCCTGGTTTTCTTGTGCGACAGAGTTTGGCGTTATGAGACCCGCAAAGATAGACTTCTTAAATGTGGAAGCCGCGCTCATCCGGCTGTCCAACTTCTCTCTTTCCTCTCTACACTTCTTCAGACAGTCATTGCACAGACAGTCCTCCTTCACCAGATACAGACTCTCCACTCTCTGAATCCGATCCACTTCTGGATCCTCATCTGAAGGGATTGGGTTGGATTTGATGTTCACTTTCTGCAGTTTGGGGAGGTTTTGTAGACTCTTAGGCAGCTGCGTCAGGAGGTTATTGAAGAGACCCAGTTCTCTGAGCTCTTTGAGAGCAGACACAGTCGGAGGAAGAGTGTCAATGCAGTTCATACCTAAATTGAGGATTCGTAAGTTTCTCAAGAAGCCCATTTCATGAGGAAGACTAGAGCTTGTGAGACGGTTGTTGCACAGATTGAGGTTGTGGAGATTTTGCAGACGTCCTATAGCTGCGGGAAGATGCTCCAGATGGTTGCTGTGCAGATCCAGCAGACGCAGGTTCACGAATTTGTCGATGGCGTCTGGGATCTTCTTGAGGAGGTTTCGACTGAGGTCTAGCTCGTCTACATCGCAGAGTTTCAGGATGCACTTTGGAAATGTGGAGATGGCCATGTTGCTGAGGTCGAGGCGGCGTTTGCCGTCTACGGTCACTTTCAGAGCATTCTTGGCCATCTTAAGTGTGATTTTTCGACCTGATGGTTCGCTTGATTTCTTCTTTCCCTTCACCATCGTGTCTAGAAACAAAGCATTGTTGTGTAGGTTTTATTATAATGATTATATTATATAATGACAGTGAGCTACAGTTCAAGTCAGAATTATTAGCCTTCCTGAATATTCTGTTTAACGGAAAAGTTTAAAGGTACATTATGTTATCCAATAGCTGCAAGATTTGTCAAACTGTAGTGAGTTTATTGATCTGCTGTTTTATATATATATATATATAAATATGTATATATATATATATATATATATATATATATATAAATATGTATATATGTGTGTGTATATAGATATATATATAACACATAATTTTCTGCGGAAAATCTGCGGAATTCTGTTTGCGCAGATTCCATGTGGGCCTACGCATCACGCACCTGTCAGTCAGTCAGTCAGCACGTCACCTTAAAGGGTAAACAATTGACGCACAGCACTACTACAGTTACAGAAAAGTTAGCGCTATTATAGTTTTAATTACCCTTTAATACATTTTGGTGCAATTATTACCTGCTATAAAAAAAAATATTTTGAATGAGAAGCTGTAATGTAGTCGTGGCGGGATAAATTTTGGCGCGGCGCCTCGCCATGAAAGAAAGAATGTAGCGGAAACCATATATATATTAACAGTTTAGAGTTTCAAATTAACAGTGCAATGAAGATAAATTGGTGTTATGAATGACGCTTTATTGAAAATGGCAAGCATAAAACAACATCAGTATTGCATTGAAATAATTAAAGGGAAAAGTTTGAAACACTGAGTATTTTGGATGAATTTTAAAATATTTAGCACTGTTTAAACATTAAATGTCTTTATATCAGCATTGTTGTTGCTTTTTGTATAATTGGTGTTTGTTAAGAAACAGTTATGAATGTAAATTATATATTGAATATACCATTGTCGCCATGCAAATAACAATTGTGCTGATCTGACTTTAATGTAATATTGATATTACATTAAAATGAATAGTAATAAATCAATAGATTAGTAAATTAAGAAATAAAAGCATTCAATTGAAGTCAAAATTATGAGCCCTTCTGCTAAATATTTACTCTTTTTTTTTTTTTTTCTATATTTCCCAAATGATGTTGAACAGATTCAGGAATTTTTCACAGTATTTCCTATAATATTTTTTCCTCTCAAGAAAGTCTTATTTGCTTTGTTTCGGCTGGAGTAAAAGCAGTTCTTAACTTTTTTTATAGCCATTTATGGTCAATATTACCAGCCCCTTAAGCAATATTTGTATTTAAATGTCTACAAAACAAACCACTGTTATACAATGGCTTGCTTAATACCCTAACTTGACCAATTAACCCAGTTAAGCCTTCAAATGTCGTTTTAAGCTGGATATTAGCATCATGAAAAATTGTTTGTCATATTTTTTTAATAATCTGCGATTCTTACCTGTATCTCTGTCCTTTTTCAGTGCAGTGTGGAGTCAAACAGAGTCTCAGCAACGACTGACTACAAGCCGATCATTACAGGCCGTCTCTGATAAGGATCTTCCATGTGAATAATGCACAAAGCCTGTAAGTAAAAACCAGCAGGGTAAACTTGCCCCAGTTTGATTCCTCTGATAGAGAAACACTGCTTGTTGGCATTAGTCTGATATTCAGCCCTTTGTTTTGCTGGATCTCCAGGCAACAGGGATGTACTGCTCTGCCTGCTGGCTTTATTGTTTTGTTGCCGGTTTGCTGAGTGACGAGAACTGTTTACTGTGTCTTGGGTTTTGTTTGATCACACTGCAATAAATGCTGTGGTCCACACATTTAATTTAATTTAATTTAATTTAATTTAATTTAATTTAATTTAATTTAATTTAATTTAATTTAATTTAATTTAATTTAATTTAATTTAATTTAATTTTATTTAATTTTATTTAATTAATTTTTATTCTGTCCATGTGTCAACTAGTTTCCTAAAAACACTATTTTATTTTATTTTACTTTTGTTTAGTTTTGTTTAATTTTAATTTTACTTTTATTTTCTCCATGTGTCAACTAATTTCCTACAACACTTTATTTTATTTTATTTTATTTTACTTTTGTTTAGTTTTGTTTAATTTTTTAAATTTTAATATTACTCTATTTGTCAACTAATTTCTAAAAATTTAATGTTGTTTTATTTTATTTTATTAGCCTCTCCAGGTTTTTTTAGTCCACACTTAAAAAAATACAATTTATTTAATCTAGATCTTTATTTAGTTTGTTTTCCACATTTTTTTTTGTTTATTATCAGTTTAACCCTTTCCATGTTGTTTATTTATTTATATTTTTTAGTTTTTTATCATTTTATTTGTATTTGTTTATCCTCTACATGTGTCTAGTTTCCAAATACACTTTATTTTATTTTATTTGTTAAAGAAAACATTTATTTTTTCCTGTTCATTGTACTTTTTAATCTGTTCTATGTTGATTATTTGTTTAGAAATTAGAAATTTTTATCGTCCACACATTTGGAAATTCATTTTTGGCCTCCCAAACATCACAAATACAAAATACAAAACACAAACACAGAGCACAAACACAATTTATTTTTATTTATTTTGTTCACATTACTACATAATTTGCTGCAAAATTTTTTTTCTTCTTTTTTTTTAATTTTGGAGTTTTTAATGTTATATTATTTAAACTGTTTTATACAAATATTTCTATTATTTTAATTTTCATATTTTTAGGAACCGAGTGCAGTTTTTGCCATTTACAGGTGTTGTATTTTAACAAACTCCTCCTAGGTACTTAATCAGATCAACAATTAAAATTAGATATGGTCATCTAAAGGCCTTGGCGATGTTAAATTGCGAAGATCTAGAGTTTTCGTCAAAGGGCGTGCCCGTGGCGGACAGACAAATTCAGTGTATCGTCATGGAGGTGGAAGTACTTATAACTCAGCCACACAATGTCTGATCTGCCTGAAAATTCACATGTTCGAAGAGATTCCTCTCCTGAAGACATCTACATGCCAATATTGAGTCACAGTCACCTGCTGACAGAAGGAAGTTAGTTATAAATCTGTGATTTTCTCAGTTTTTTCTATATATATCAGCTTAAATTTTTATTGTCCGCTGTTCTCTGTCATCCTGAGGCCACCGGCCGGCGGTGAGCCCGGGTGTGAGGTCCCTTTCATTGCTGCTTGCAGCTTTAATTTATTCTATTATTCTATTTAATATTTATTTTATATATATTTTGTTTGTTTTATTATATATTTTTATTTTATTTATTTGTTATCCAAATTACTCCATACATTTTTTACATTATGTATTTTTAAAGTGTCTTTTTATTTTTGTATAATAAAACTTTTATATAAATATTTATTTTATTTTAATTTATTATTTTATTGTTTATCTATTTGCAATTTTTGTTTTATATATTTGTATGTTTTTATTATTATTTAAAAAAAGTATTTATTATTCAAATACTCATACAACTTTAATTTTATTTGTCCAGTTGTTTTACATACTGTAGCGTGACCTACATCTTGCAGTAAGTGGAGAAAATAGTTTCCCTGTTAGATAAGCCGCAGGTATGCCGGGGTATCATCACACATCGAATATGATATATCTGACAGTAGTGAATCCCAACTATATTTAATTTTGACCTGTAAAGGATTACATTTCACTTACAGTCATGCAAATTGTCACTATAACTGTAATAGCGTTTTAACACCAATAGAGGGCATCAATAAATCACTTGTGTTTGGTTTTTTCATATAACTTGATGCATAATAAGTGCATTTTCTAGTAAATCACTTATATGACCGTCTGTTAAGCAAATAATACGAGCAAACAGGATACGCTTTATCTCTGAAAATGCTGTTTTTCATAAGCTCACTCTTTAATTTCAGTCAGTATTGACGATGGATATCTGGTTAGTTGGTTATGACTCACTCAGACATAATTATCTGATTAAAATACCTTCCTTGTGACTGAATAAGCAAAAAGCTTCACCTCAGATCACCTGCGTGTGTATGTTATCTAGGTCGTTTGGCTAAGGTGACGGCTGGTTTGGCTGAGTCATTTTACCTTCATTTGGCAAAGCGGGACGTGTTTCTTTCTGCTGACTCGACCTGTCACAATAATCAATATGTGGACTTCTCGCACAACACGGGACATGACCTCAATCATGTTTGGTGATGCAATATATATCTCCCAACATTTAAGCTGATTGTGCAACAACTGTCTATTAGAGGTGTCAGTGTCAGTATGGTTAAAACCCACTATAGCAGGGTTTAACGCTAAGGATTTTTCCTACTGGGAGAATCGGGCCAGTGGTTGAGATTTTTACTTGCACTGCCAAACTTTTCACTGGCCCCAACAACAACAAAAAAGTTAATAGGTATTTCTTATTTATAAGAATACTATATATTTATACTAATTTAAACATTTAAAAAATGTTAATAAGTGTATAATGAGCAAAATTTAAGATTTCATGCAAACGAAAGAGGAGTATGGAAAATTTATTTTTCTTAATTTTGTATCCATGCAATTGTCTGCTTCCAAGACTTAAAATCAGACATTTTCTTTTAGCCTCATAGTTTGATGTTTCCGCCATGTTGCCATCTTTTCACTGTACTGGTTGTTACCAGGTTACGAAAAAAATAGCTTGCTCATCGTTACTGGCCGATAGGGGCCGGTAACAATCCTGTCTACTGTGCCGAGCTTCTTTCACGCTGGCCCCGGGCCACCGGGCAGTCCTTATTGTTGAGCCCTGCTATAGTATTTATTATAAGTTGCAGTGTGTGTATATATATATA